GGCATTATGTGAGAGTAACGGCCGGTCCCCGTCAGCAGCCTGGCAGCTCTATTCTGCACCAGTTGCAGTATCCGGACCATTTTCAAGGGCAGCCCCATGTAGAGTGCGTTGCAGTAATCCAAGCGGGAAGTTATCAGAGCATGTATCACTGTTGCTAGGGAGTGCTCATCCAGGTAAGGACGCAAAATAGAGCCCTGCGGAACTCCATGGCAAAGCTGCCATGGCGCAGAGCTATAGTCCCCCAGCACCACCATCTGGAATTGGCTGCCCAGATAGAAGTGGAACCACTGCCATGCAGTACCTCCTACTCCCAAGTCAGCCAGCCTATCCAGAAGGATACCATGGTCAATGGTATCGAAAGCCGCTGAGCGGTCCAGGAGAACCAACAGGGACGCACTCCCCCTGTCCCTCTCCCTGCACAGGTCATCGTACAGGGCAACCAAGGCAGATTCAGTACCATAACTGGGTCTGAAGCCAGACTGAAATGGGTCCAGATAATCAGTTTCAACCAAGAGTGCTTGGAGTTGTCCCACCACCACCCGCTCTAACACCTTGCCCAAAAACAGAATATTGACCACCAGTTGGTGGCCACCTCTGGGTCCAGGGGTGCCCTCTTCAGGCCGGATCACCACCTCCTTCAAGGAGGTTTATCCAGAGTACTATGAAATTCCTTGGGTAGAAGCCATATTAATATAATGATTTGTTCTTTCTGAAAACTAAAGCTGGGCACCTTAGTAAACTGATTAAATATTGCTTTATCAAAGCCCAACCTAGAAAGCTGTTCATTTTACAAGTATCTACCCAAGGATTTTGCTTAGATGCACAACTGCCAGCCTCCTTTGCCCAGTATGCTGAACATTCCCCCTTTAAAGAATAATGTGGAAGGTCAATTTAGGGGGCTTCAATACTAGATTTCTCTCTAGTTACTAACTGCCAAACCTGTTTGGGTTGATCAAACCTATTCCACTTCTTTGACTAATCTACTGTACTTCCTATTCTTTTTTCCAAATAGTTCCAACAATGCAACTACATTCTCAAGTTTGTATTCTGTTTTATATAGTAGGTGGTAAATTTACTGAAATGTCCTAGCAACTAATAAATCATGCTCTGTATAAAGGAGATCCCTCATTTATTGTTTTTCTCCAGGAGTATCAGCTCAAGAGAAGGATTTATAATAATACAGCTGTTCTTTACATCTAGCACTTATGGAACCATACACCAGCACATATGAACACAATCCTATGCATATTTTGGTCCAAAAGAAAGTCTGCTGGGGGATGCAGAGACTGTTGGGACATGTCTAAACATGTGCAAGATGTTATTTAGTTAGTTAATTTCTATACCACCTAATAGCCGAAGTTGTCTGGGTGGTTTACAAAGTTCCTAAAATGGCACCAATAAACACCATAACATTTTCCTAAAATACAAAATTTAAAAAACAATTTAGTAGCTAAAACAGCTACCCAGCCAGTTAATAAACCTTTAGCCACAAATAGACTGGGACAGTTTTCAGGGAATGTGAACTGAGTTCTTACCATCTTACCAAGCTGCTGTTGCTAGACTGATGCTCCTGTCTTTGGGAGACACTCTTATCACCAGCACAGAGGAAGGAAATTTCCCTAGGGCTAACTGAAAACCTGGGCAATTTGAGCTTGAGTCAGAAAACTTTTTATCTCCTCAACACTATTTAGACATTGTACTCCAAGATTTCAGGCAAAATTTTTACTACTGTACTTGGAGATACCTACCCAGAATCAAAGCTGGGAACTTCTACATGCAAAGCATATGTTCCCCTGAGCTATGGACACCATGTAAGTTGAATTGCAAACACTGGCAGTAGGATTGCATCAGCTAGTTCATCTGAAAGCACTAGTCTACTTTGGAGCGTACAAGAAAAGCTGAGTAGAATACCTAACTATCTGTCTTATCTCAGGAGGAATGCCTTCACAGGCTGCCTCCTCTGGCTCAGGTATCCGCTATCTAAGCCAATTACCTCTCTCTGTCTAATAGCAGGGTTGGCCCTGTGTTAAGGGCTGGCTGTCATCCTGAACATGAACATTTGAGCGAGGGGGTTCTGAATAACCTTTTTCCTTTCCTCCTTCCCAGAACCTACTAATATATCAAGCAGATGAGAGGATTAAAACTTCCTGGAATGGATTAACCCACCCCCAATTCCCCCAGCAGGATACTATACACTGTTAGGGACTTAAGCAGGTCTTGCCTTTTTTCCTTTTTTCCCAATTTATACACTCAACATACCATTAGTCCTAGAATGCACTAAATAACTCCTCTTTGGGATGCATTGTCCTTTAACTTATTTTTCTTCCAATCCACAAGCTAATATACTTCTGCATACTTGGGTAGTTCCAAGTATGCAGGAAATATTATTTTGGGGCCATCACATTTCACTATCAGACTGACAGGCACCAGAATGGAGGTAAGAAAAAGAACAAAACATATGAAACCGGTGTTGAGATTGAGCCTGAGCATGTTGACTCAGAAGCAAGGCCCAAAAAGTTCAGCAGGACTTACATTAAAAAAACAGAATAGTAATAAAACAATTCAATAACAGCAGCATGACAGCAACAAAACAAAATGCAACTAAGCAACAGAACATCAAAACCCAAGAATAATGCTCCCAAAAATACTCAAACAAATTTGCTTTGACTCTTCACCTGAATACAGAAGGTGAACCAGATTATTAGGTCTCCCTAGACAATTAATTTTACTATTTACGTTTTGCTACCAAGCACATGGAATCTCTCATCTGTCCTTCACACTTTATTGAATGGTGCAATGCCTAAGATGACCTTTCTTTGTGCCTATAGCATGCTGTTAGATTCAGATCCATGCAAATGGAAATGATTTTTCAGAGATCCATATCCCAAACTATTTATGGGCTTTAAATGTCATAACTGGCACCATAAATTGGGATAAAGGCAAACTGGGCCCCAATGTGATCCATATAATAATGGTACAATAAAGCCAAAATAACAGGCCAAAATACAGTATCAGCAGCTCTAATACTGTATTGTGAAAACTGAAGCTTCTGAACACTTTTCAAGGAGTCCCACATGCTATACCATTTACTTAGAGAGATGCAAGTTCAAATGGAATCAAAAAAGTATTGAGTAAGCATGGATAGCAGGCTCAGAACATCAAACCTCGTGGGCTGAGTCTATACACCTATTTTAGAAGAGTATGTTAACATTATCACATATTTTGAACTAGCAAAGAGCTTCCCCCTTACTTTCTGTGAAATTGTATCATCAACAGAAATATTAATATTCTTTGTGGTTATATACTGTCAAGTTGTCATTGACTTACGGCGACCCCATAAATTAAAGTCCTCCAAAATGTCCTATGCGTGATAGCTCTGTTCTATGCTTCCAAGTTGGAGGGTGTGACTTTCTCTATGAATTCGATCCATCTCATATTTGGTCTTACCTATCGTCTTCTGCCTTTGACTTTCCCTATCATGATTGTTTCCTTCAGTGAGTCTTGCCTTCTCATAATTTTCCAAAGTCTGACTGCCTCAACTTTGTCATTTTCACTTCTAGGGAAAGCTGTGGCTTGATTTGATATAGGACCCACTTGTCTTTCTGTTGGTCCATGGTATCCACAGAACTCTCCTCCAGCACCATGTTTTGAAAGTATCAGCTTTCTTCACGGTCCATCATTCACACTTACACATGGTGATGCAAAATACAATAGTATGGATGATCTTGTCCTTGGCCTCCAGTAAAACATCCTTACACTTGATTACTTTTTCTAGTTCCCTTCATTCCTTCCAATTTTCACTCTTATTTCTTGGCTGCAGTCTCCCTTTGAATTGATGACTGAGCCAAGGTATACTAAATCTTCCATAATTTCAACTTCTTAATTAACAGTAAAGTTCTGTATTTCTTCTGTGGATATTATTTTTGTATTCTTCACATTTAGCTGCAGTCCTGCTTTTGTACTTTCTTCTTTCACTTTTATCAGGAGTTGTTTCAAGTCATTAATGCTTTCTGTCAGTAGGATGGTATCATCAGCATATCTTAAATTAGCGATGTTTCTTCTACTAATTTGCACTCCTTCCTGCTTTCCTTATGGTAGGTTGTGTGTACAGGTTGAACAGATAGGGAGATAAAATCCTTGTCTGATACCTTTGCTTATGAGAAACCATTCTGTTTCTCTGTATTCTGACCTAACTGTAGCTTCTTGTCCATGACACAGCTTCACATTGATAAGAATATTTTAAATTGGCTGGGGCATAAGAAACAGACTGAAGAAATATGTTCGATCCAACCAAAGGTCCATTCAATTTACATGGGATCCCAAAAACAGGATAACAGCACTCTATGAGAGACTACATTATCCATAGTTAAGCACCTATTTATACCTGGAAAGAGTCTTGTTCCAATGCACTCTAACCATACTGCAAAGCAGAAATATAACAATTATTTGAAGCTGCTTATGTTGCCCCTGATAGAGGAAGCAGCACATAACCATCAGGACTAATAAGCCTTTGACCAAAACTTTGCATTGTTCTGCACCATTAATACGTTGATTAAATTATATTAACTATTAAAAAACAGAGAAAAGCTTTATACAATGAAATGTCCCCTTGATTTAACACCACAGCTTTTATAAAGCCTGCCTGAGCTATCTTCACTACCAAGAAAATGTTAATAAAATGAATCGAACAAACTTACATTTGTAACCCTAAACGCACGACCCCCGGCAGGGATGGGAAGAAGAGTTTTCAGAACTCTGTGGAACTGAATTCCGAGAATGTTAACTAAGAACAGCAACCGGAGAATAAGTATGTGAAACAAAATGACGCAAACGTGCGTGCAAAGCCCCATAATAGCAAATAAATTGCCAAATATATACAGTAAAAAATGTCGTCATTAGGACTCGAAAACAAAGTGTGGTTCTTGTCAATGCCTGTGCCACTCTTTCTTTCCCTCACAGACCCTCGGAACTTCCCCGGTATCCACGTCCCCGTAGCTCACCATTCGCGAAGGGAAAGCAAATTAAAGTGCCAAGAAGTGCAGCATCGGAGAACTAGCAACGCGCGCGGCCCTCCCTCTCAATTGCTTTCTATCTCGCGCGCTCTTTCTTCTCGTCACTTGGCAACCAGCGAAGCAGACGTTCGGCCTCGAGAAACCGAATGGTTCCGCCCTTCTGCCTTCAGATTCGTTTGCGCATGCGTGGCAAGAACGAAAGTGCCGATAACAAAACACAGAGATAAGAAAATGGAAGAGCCATTAGAAACTGGGAATAACACCCTATCAGTCTACTGGCACTCCCATTATAAAACTGAGTTAATTTCTCATTGCAGTTTTAATGTACTAACACACAAACATCAACTTTATTGCTTATTTTTGGATGGACAAGATAAGGCAGACAATTTAAGCAGACTGATCTTTGCTGCAACTTACTGGGTGTGTTATATAGAGTGGCTACCTGTCCTTTACAAGGACAATCCTTTTGAAGGGCTGTCACATGACAGTCCTCGATTTGAGGAGCTATTATATTCAAGTTCAGTTAAAAGATAAAGAACTATTAGAAGAGAAAAACTAATAGAATAACTAATAGTAGCTAGCATCTGTTCAGCAGACCAGTCTTTCCTAGAATGTTGAAAGGTATTTGAATTAAAGCAATCATTTCCAAAATGACATATATAAATTAGCATGTGCATATTTTATGCTTTTTGATGCCCTTTTTTGTCCTTTTATAACAAAAAGTTATATACATTGATTTTTGCTTGGAGATTCAAACCTTTTTCCAGGGCTGTCTTAGCAGCATTATGGGCCCCGGGCAAAGGTGTGTACTGGGGCCCCTACGACAACTACAACTACTGTTAATTTTGGAAGTTTTCCAATTTTCCAAGGGTTAACATACACAGATTAGTATGGGGCCCACGGGCAACTGCCCATCAGGCCCATGCGTTAAGACGGCCCTGCCTTTTTCCCATCTCTAAACTGCAGTATTAACAGTGAACTAAACTGCAGGTTTTATAAGCCACATTCATGTGATCCAAAACACTATTTGCACAATCATCTTGTGGTTAGTCTCTACACAAGAGATATGGGGACTAGTTCTAAACCTTCTCTGTTGCTTTCCTCATCACTTGCCACCTGTTGAGAGAGACTGCCCACAGCAGGGAGCCTTCTCTATCCACAGTTGCTCTCTGTGTAATTGAAAACTCTGGAAAATCACACAGAGCTCTTCCATCAATAGAGTAGGCTTTCTGTTCCAGGCAGCTGTGCTTGACACATGGAGAACAGTGGAGACAGTTGTATTAGACATTGTGATGAAGAATTAGTATGAGCTGTTCCCAGTGCCCTGCACAGGCCTTTGGTGTAGCCATAAAAGCAATGGGCATTCGTTTAGTTCAGTTGCTGTGAGAGGCCTGCAGAGTAGCGAGGGGCCTCAGCTAGCAGCAGCTGTGAATTCCTTCCCTCATCCTTGAGATAGGGATGTTTACACATCCCTCTGCTGAAGTTAATTGGGGTGACTGTGTCTTTTCTTGCCCTTCTCTTTTCCCCACTTGCAAGGGGGATTAGTTTCTGGTTTACTAACAGCCTTTGAAGCAGGAAGAAAAGATAACCTATAAAATCCCTGGCAGATGCCTTTTTCCTCTGTTTTGGTTTGGGGAGAGAAACTAACATACTGCTCACCCAGGCCACTTTGAAAGTCTACAGAACATCTTCTCATAGTCAGGGCACCAATATGACCACAGATAAGGGGAACATAAGCTACCTTTTGTTTGTTTATCTGCCTCCATATTCCATCACTATATGCACTCAAACTGAATCTAACTTTCACACAAGTGCATGTTTTTAAGTATCCCAACTTACATGAAGTGGAGCAGGCTCCTGAGTAATACAACAGTGATAAAGAGTAAAGGTGGAACTAGCCCATTTATTCCTTAGTTATTGCCTGTTAACATTATGAATGTCCGAATTGCTTCACCTGAATACAACAAATTTGAAAAATATATTTATTGTATGCCTTTCTGTGGTTTAAATTGTTTCTACTGTATACTTCTTACTTAATTTGAATATTACACATTGATGGTGCTATGCCATATTTTTATCAGAATTATGTAGTATTTCCATGCTTCTTTTAAAAGTTTGCCTCATTATTGTCAATTGGTATTATCACAATTATAAGTAAACATTTTTAATAAAATGGGTTGAAATTTAATATTTAAAATTAGATTCTGTAAACTTCAAATAAAAATGGTTGCCGAAAAACACAAAAATTCTCTAGCTTCCTTCTGCGCATGTGTTTTAACTGTCCTTCCCTCCCTCTGCGGGAAGCGCGTGACCTCTACGTCAAACAGAACACAAATCTTTTATTCTCTTATGAGAGAACGCAGTACCGCAGACAAAAACCTTGAATTCAATGCATTCTGGGAGGTGTAGTTTTTTTATGTCCGACCTGTCCCTTCGCATTGCGCATTGCTCTTGGAGCGGCGGACTACAAGTCCCATATGACAAAAAAAAGGAGGGACGAAAGGAGGCGGGGTTTTTTCACCTTTTTTTCAATCAATTGCCGAGTGGCGCTCTCTGTTAGCTGTAGCTGTGTCTGCGGTTAGAGGTGACCCCAAGAAGTAGGAACGGTCGTGTCTCCTGCTATCACCATGGTTAGTGAAACTGAGCTCGGCATTATTTTATAGAACGGGATGTCGTCAACTGTCAATGGGTGTCAGTGATCTGATGAGATCTTGGGCAGACAATGAGGGCTGTAGAAATCTCAATTAGGGAGAAGGCCAGAAAAGGCTCGTTTTTATAGCGGGAGGGGGTTATGTATTCCCTCAAGGAAGAAATAAGGTGAACCCATAGACTGGGCAGAAGTGAGTGTGTAATCCGTAGTTTTCCTGTGTTTGCGGAAAGGGGCTGTGAAAACGGGAGAAACTGCGAATTTTCTCTATTTGTGTGAGCCTGAAATGAACTTAACTATTGAGGGCTCAGCACTCGAATTAAAGGAGTGTTGCGTGAGGGATACAGGGCCCAATAACTCTGGTGACGCCTATCTTAACAACCCTTTTTAGAAATCTATGTGGGAGCGAGGGCATGATTTGATTAAAATCAGAAGGAGCGGCTGGGAGCTTAGGGATTTCATTTAAAGCTCGCTCACGCACGCTAAGAATTCCGGCACGGACTGAAAGACTTCAGAGTGGCAGAGGGTGGGCAGTGGCAGACCTTGTCTGAAAAAGGTTTCTGGAGGAATTATCCCTGCATGGGCTAGGAAAGCTGGAAAGGACTTTGAAAATGGGAATATTTGGTGAGTGGTTATGAAGTCCGCTATGGTTAAGACGAGAATCTTTTGAATGGTGAAATTCTGTTGTTCTTGTTTGAGCATTGAGATGAAGCAACATAAGCCCCAAAGCATCAGTTCCCCATATGACAGCTCTGCCATAGTAGCCATACAAGAAATTGAAAACTTTGTTATTTGGATTTTGTGACAAGTGCTATCTTGAGCTTCTGTGTGGGCATGGGAGGCTGAGAGGAAGGAAAGGTCTGTGTTGCCTCTCATGCTTTGCCATATTGAAGTACACTGCAGGACTAGCTTTTAAAAAATTAGAACAGGGTCTCCTCTTGCTTGTATCAGATGGGGTTGCCAAAAATGTGTGTTGTGAGGGGGAGACTTTGTATCAATCTGGAAAGCACTGTCAATTATTAATAACTAGGTCATTCAGATATCACATCTGTGGGAGCAGCTGCACAAAGGGTTGCCCAGCTTGCCCAATGACAGTGACCCATTTGTCCTCTTGCACTTTACACTTGCTGCAGTGATATTGCTGGTATGTAGGACTTTCAAGGTGCTCTTCAAGTGGGCATTGTTTAATTTCCAAAATCTTGTCAGCATTTTGAAATGTTATACTTTCCAATAAAACATGTTATTTAATTTGCCACTACATATTAATCAAGTGCTGACTGCCTTATAGTGTTAATCAAATTCCTCTGAGGAGCAGTATGTGACCTTGCGAATGCTTCTTCACTGGGAGGACAAGAGAGGTACCCAGTAATAAACAATTTTGCCTTGTTGTCTGCAACTTCAAGTTAATGAACAGGGATATTTGTATTAATAAAACTATCTAAACCACCCCTGCCCTGTTTCCATCAGCTATCGATTCTTTGCAAGTAATGAATCATAATGTCCAGGTGAATTTGTATTTCTTTGACCAATCCTGTTTAGTGGCAGTCATGAATATTTCCTCCAGTTATTTAAATTGACTTAATTGGAAAGGAAATATTTTTAGAGAACTGTAGCTCATACTGGCTTTGAACTTCTGCCATCCAGTATTGTATGTGTGTGTATTATCATACAGCAAAGCCTGATAAAAGGTTACTTCCATTCAGAAGGTAAATCTATCATAATGTAGCAAGCATGGAGGCTTCCCTGTTGAAAACTGCATCTTATTTATAATGCGACCTTCTTTATTATTTTGTTCAAGCTTTTTATTCTAACTGCTGTCCTGAAATTAAATCTGTCCTGATTTGAAATAGCAGGGTAGCTCTGAAGGACAGGCTGTATTTGGAAGGGGTGAACTGACTTAAATACCTGCATGTTGTATTTCTTGCCTGGGTATAACTAACAATTTAAAAATACAACCCTAAATAAAAATAATGACCTGCCTTAGCTCTGTCACATATAGGCATACACATTTTCCACAACAGTGTGCCACCTCCCTCTCTTACTATCTACAGTTAGGCATTTAACTGTAGATGTAGAATTACCTTCTACTGCATTTTCTTGTCATATAAAGTCAAGTTTTGAGCCCATGGCTACTCCATCTACTAGAGGGGTGGGCAAACATCAGGCATAGCAGTTATATCAGAGGGATTTTGTTCTTACTAGAACCCTGGTGTCTACCAGCTACAGAATAGTGGTGTGCAGGGGAAGCAGGGTGCCCGAGCATGGGGTCAACCCAGAAATTTGTCTGAGCATGAGAGCTGGATTTGTAATATACTCCTTTATTTAGTCCAGAAATCTAAACTTTATTGCTATTAAAACAGTTGGGAGTAGGAACCTCTTGCCTATCTACTAAAAATCACCCAGAGATATTGTGCCACTCTTCCCTATTATTTCTTCCCTTGCCTTATTATAAGATGAACTTAGATAAAACAAACAAACAAAATCTAGTTTTTATATTTCTGTACATTAACTGGCCTTTCTCTTCAAACAAACAAAACCCTGTAGTTCTTTAGCTTGTGTTTAGGTAATATGGAATGTTCTTACTGGGTGAGAACATCAGTACACCTTCCATCAGTACTGGATAAGAACATTCTACTTTGAGCTTTTTCATTCTATTTCTAATTTTAAACCACATGTGTTGGCTACTCTAGGACTGAATAACTACCTGGAAGTCTGCTGACTACCCAGTGGGAAGTCAGCAGAACTTGCCCTCTCAGCTTCTTGAAGAGATATGTCAGCCATTACCCCTTAGAAATATTCATTTTACAGAAAGACCACTGTATGTGCTTAATTAACAAGAGGAAATATGTTAACTCGTGTTTAATGAAATGTGCAAATGTCCTTCTCTTTCAGGCTCAACCAATCAAAGTCCTAGTAACTGGTGCAGCTGGACAGATTGCATATTCTCTGCTCTATAGCATTGCTCAGGGTGATGTCTTTGGCCGCGATCAGGTAATGGATAAAAGAAATTACACCATACCTGTAAGCAGTAAGAACCTAAAGGTCAATGCTGAAGTTGGCGTCAGAGTTCATAGCAAGAATAAGGGATCATTAAATCAATATGTAGTTGGCTTTAATTTGTGTTAGAAGGGAATGAGGTTCCATTATGAGGAAGCAAGATTTGCATTCCTGTACTGCTTGCTGAATGGGTTTCTGGTAGAGAGTTGCAAGGTAGAAGCTGACATGTTCTAAGTTGTGTGTATATTTTGTACTTGATGGTCCATACAGTTCTGACTACAAAATGAAAAGAATTTGGTCAGACTGATAATGCTTATTTGATTGATCTTATCAGAAGTTTCCATATTTAAACTTTTTATCTGATATTGTTGTTTTACAGCCTCTTGTTCTTGTGCTATTGGATATCACTCCCATGATGAATGTATTGGAAGGTGTACTGATGGAATTGCAAGACTGTGCTCATCCTCTGTTAAGAGGTGACAAATCAGAACTGATCTTGTGCCTTACTCCTAATATATACTATGTCTGCAGGTTGTGCAATGCCAGTTTTGCAGCACTGTTCAGTGTTCTGCACATTATGCAAGGACATATGAAGATCAAGCAGCCATTTTGTAGACTGAAGAAATGTTGACTTGAATAAGGAATGGCGTTCCATTCCTTATAGACCAAATGGTTAAGGCGAACTGTAGAAGTCTAATCTGTAGCAGTGGAAGGAAAGTATGGATAAGAACAAGGCTACATTGATGGGGCTTGTCATGTACTTTATGAACTATTTGTGCCAGTTTAAAAAGAAGGCAAATTGAGAAGAAACTTGTTTCATGCTATTTCAGCATGAAATTTCCACTTCAGTGAAATTGCAGTTCATTGTAGTTTGTTTCAGTCTTGAAGCCTTCTTTCTGATTTTTTAAAAAAATCAGCTAGCATTAAATCATTATTTCCTGTATCCACAAAGTTAGAAAAATGAAAAATTGCCTTGAAATGAAGAATTGTATTAAAGCTTAGATATTTATGTATTTATTATTTTTATACTGCTACTCGGCTAAAATGGCTCCCAGAGTGGCTTATCAGTTAACATTTTAAAAGATATAATGCAAAGCATAGAGGATGGGCAGTGAAGAGAACAGAATCATTATTTCAGCAGAGCTAATGGAGAAGCCCTGTTTCTTTCTCCTCCTCATGTCCATACAGCCTGGTGAAAGATGATAGTTGAGGGATGAGGAGCCCTTATGAGGGGGTTTAGCAGAGCTGGTGGAATGGCCCTGATCTTCCTCTCCTCTCTCTCCACCCAGCCTGCTAAAAAGGCTGCTGATAGCGACAGGATAAGATAAAACAATACAAACTAATTCACTTCAGTACAATATGCTATTATATTTTCTCCATTTCTGTAGGCTGAAACATTTTCTTAGGAAATGATAAATGGGCATGTTACTATGAGCAGCACCAGAACTTTTTGATAAGGATCTCAATGAAAGTTGTGATTAAATGGGATAATTCAATTAATTCCTTTTAAGATATTGACATGGACTCATTTTTCAAGTATAAATGTTGGCTTCTTCCACTCTGTTTAGAGGTAATTTCAACTGACAAAGAAGAAGTTGCATTCAAAGATCTTGATGTAGCCATACTGGTTGGCTCAATGCCAAGAAAAGAGGGTATGGAACGGAAAGACCTTCTCAAGGCAAATGTGAAAATATTTAAGTCCCAAGGTGCCGCATTGGACAAGTATGCAAAGAAGACTGTTAAGGTGAATATAGCTGGTGTAATGTAGTGGGGAACAGAATTTATTTATTATTTAAAACTTTTATGTCGTCCTCTATGCGTGGCATGTCATGACGTCTTACAAACATTAAAATCAAAACAAATAAATACAAATATAAAACAATATACAACCAATAAAAATAAATTAAGAGCAACTGATTAATACTATTAAAATCCTAACTTTTTAAATAACACTTAAAAAGGTTTTGACCTCGGCGCCAGGCGAGAAGGAGCACTTATGCAAGAGGATGTTGGTTCACTCAATTATTTTTACACACACCCATAATAAAGACTTCAATTCTCGCCTACCTTACAGGATTTTCTGTAAGGATTGTTTTAATTTCATATGTGGAGTGCTTTGAACACTAAAATGCTCTATTAAATATAAAGTGTTATATTACAGAAATCAAGTTGCCATTTCTTATTTGAAAGTTCTTTTCCACTTGAGGATCTCAAGTGGACAAATATAAGCTGAAATATATATGTGATGTATAATAGTCCATATATATATTTATGTGGTCTATCTTACATCACATATATAGTGTTATAAATAACGTTAGCTGCTTTAAAAGAATATGATGTTAATCGATTTAGGAAACAAGGCTTGTTTAAGTTCAAGTGGGAAAATAAGATGCTATAGTTCTTACAATATTGCTTAATTTTCTTTTAAAAATCTATTTTAGTCTTTCCTCTGAGGTCTGAAAAAGTGTGAGAATTTGAATAAAACTGTAGTCTTTCCCCATTGTTCTGTAGCTTTATTTGATGAGACAAGAATTACAGACATTCTTTCTGAGTTCTGATGAATTGCTTTAATAGTAAGTGGAAAATAAACATTTAAAAGGATGTTTCTTTAAAAAGAAAATGGAAACTGATCAAGTTTTTCTATACTGCCTTTCTGCCAAAGCATCCAAAGTGGTTTACAATCCAAAAATATAGAAACAAACAGATGTTTTTTAAAAATGAACAAACACTGGAAGATAGTTCTCTTGGGCTGGCTTTCAGGAGCTCCCTGGCTTCGGCAGGTTCCATCTTTCCCAGGGCACACAGGTCTTAAATAGCCCCATAGAAAGGGGGGGGGGGGACTGGGACAGCCCCAACAGTAATCTCAGGCCTCACTGTCACCGTGGCTTGGGCTTATTAATTCCAGTTTTGGTAGTTTGCCATTTAGCCTAATTGAATTTGCATGTGATAGAGCTTTGTTTAATCATTCAAAGGCCTTGCTATGAATAAGCCTTTCCTTTCCTTTCCTTTCCAGGTTCTTGTTGTTGGGAATCCAGCAAATACCAATTGCCTGATTGCATCAAAGTCTGCTCCATCCATACCAAAAGAGAATTTCAGCTGTTTAACTCGTCTGGATCACAACAGAGCAAAAGCTCAGGTAGGGTATAGTCTTCAAGGTTCCAAGTAGCACTTCTCATGCCCTTTAATGTTATTATCTTTGCTGAAACTGTAGTTAATTAAAAATGCATTGCAATAGCTGAAGTTGCCAAGCTGATGTTGGCATTGTCTTGCTCCCTCTATCAAACTAGATTGCTCTAAAACTTGGCGTGACTGCTAAGGATGTGAAGAATTGTATTATCTGGGGTAATCATTCCTCTACCCAGTATCCAGATGTTAACCATGCCAAAGCCAAATTACAAGGGAAAGATATTGGTGTTTATGAAGCTGTGAAAAATGATAACTGGTTGAAGAGTGACTTCATTACAGTAAGTTTTGTCCAACATAAATAGTGTGAAGTGCTTTTTATTACTCACTAGTGAAATACTGGTATCTTAGGTACACTAATTTGGGAAGAAAATATGTTACATACCTTTGAAGAATGCAAAGCAAGTTGAATAGTAAACTTGTGTAACAAATTACTTCCCTGAAACTTTGCAATGTCTAAACTACCTCAAATCTGCTTGTTCCACATAAGGGCTTATGGGTAAATGGCAATGTTCCATCACATTAAGGTGGTTGTTCTGCCATTGGATTATTCTGTATCCTAGGTGATACTGTGTCCAAGCTGATACTTATTAAATCTCACTACATTTAACTTGAGTTTATTATGGTTCTTGTGTCTTAAAATACTACCATTTGTGTTACATGGAGAAGATTGTGTCCATAATTAGTACATTTAGTCCTGGACTTTCTAAAAAGACTGAATAGTTCCATCAGCAATTACAAATAATCCAATAATTTCCATCTGTCAATAATGCAGACTGTTCAGCAGCGGGGTGCAGCTGTTATTAAAGCCAGAAAGCTGTCAAGTGCAATGTCGGCTGCCAAGGCTATCTGTGATCATATGAGAGACATCTGGTTTGGCACTCCAGAGGTAAGAGTTGCCATGGCCTCTGAAAATATTCACCATTACAATGGCTGTTTAAAGAGGTGTTCATTCTGTTTACTTTGGGTACAAAACTGATAATCCTGTATAGCTTTTCATGAACGATACATGTAAAAAAGGAAATTACTTGATCTTTTAGAATATAGTAAAAGTTACCAAAATGCAGACCTTTCCTTCTGAAATATATTTTACACAAAGTATTACAAGATCCTTCCTCAGCCTGGCTGATGGGTCAATGCTGGGAGTTGTAGTCCAACACAAATTGATTGTACATTTTTGAAAAACGATGTGTTAGAAAGTTAATTGTAGAACTGAGAGTAAGCACAAAACTACTTTTTGTTTCATTTATATAGGGTGAATTTGTTTCCATGGGTGTTATTTCTGATGGGAATTCCTATGGTATCCCTGAAGATCTGATCTATTCATTTCCTGTTGTAATCAAGGTATGTAAGAAATGTATATCATTTTGGAAATACTCCTGTTGAAATGCAATACTATATGAAGCTCGTTTGTTGGCTTTAATAGTGATACCGCAGGCAGTATCTAGTATCTTCCTCCACACTTGGGTAGATCTTGGAGTTTGGATTCCCCTTCATGGTTTGACAGCAATACCTTTAAATTTGCAATGAGTAAGTTGAACATCTAGAACTAACATGAGCAAGGTGACTGTAAAGCTGTCTGCCTGTTAAAGATTTCTATGAAACATTGACAGCAGTTCACATACTTTCCCTAAAATATGTTGGATATGCTCTTGGCAACTGCAGGCAGGGGATGTGCACTCAGTCCTTAGATGTACACAGCACTTCGTATTAGTTGTATAGCTGTTTGTTTATTTATACATACATGTATTTATAGACCACCTATAACTGTCGAGGCCTTCCTAGGCAACTTACAGTTTAGCGCTTCACACCTTTGCTTAAATTATCTTTGGAATTTAATTCAGTGAGGGAGTGAAGAATTTCTTGACAAATAGCTTAAAGAATAATCTTATGGCCCCTAGACATCATTTGAGAAGCCATAGTATAGTTCAGATTCCCCAGTTTGAGGTGAAGATAGCACTCCGACCTCAGAGCTTAAAATTAGAGTTCCAGCTCCTCTCTTGCAACTCCCTGGTAGCCAGCACAGAAAGAACTGCATCGGCTGCTCCTTAAAAGTCAGGAAGGCAACTCTGGGAGTGTTTGGGGAAAGGAAATTGAGAAAATCAGAATGCAAAATATCCTGGAACTCCTCCAATTTCCTTGCTTTTCAGTATCAGATGGCTAAAATAGCCTTGTAGTGAAAATGTAAAGGAGGAGGAGCAGGAAGATGATTGCCTCTACCATTATCCCCAGTTTTCAGGAGATAAGTGTAAGCTCCTGAGTTCATAGATTTACACACATCCTATTTCCATAGGATTGTGCCATTAGAGTCTGTGGTAGTTAGCACTATGCCCTTTGACCCAAATCCAAGCTGGTCTTCTCAAAATAGGGTTCAGTTAATCAGTACACTGGTTGAACATTTATAGCATAAAGTTATAGAGTTAATTTTTCATGTGGTTTAGTCTTACTAATGTATTCTTCACAGGATAAAACATGGAAGCTTGTTGAAGGGCTTCCTATTAATGACTTCTCTCGTGAGAAGATGGATTTAACTGCCAAGGAATTAACTGAGGAAAAGCAGACTGCTGTGGAATTTCTGTCTTCTGCTTGACTAGGTGCTTACCAAGATGGAAGGGATGGCTTAAACACTGAGGAATCTAAAAGTCGTCTCTAAATTCTGCATTGAATGTTATTGTATGTTAGCTGTTGTTTCCTTGTAACTACCCATTCAATACTGGCTTTATTGGTACATTTGTGCCTGCTATTCAGTGTTCTTTGTAATGAGAAGAGTGCACAACAGATTTAAAATGCAATTTGCAGGCTTGACCAAAATTTTTTGATCTATTGCTGCTTGCTTCTTGTATTGTGTAGCACATATGACTACTTTGCCTCCTTGATTAAAATGGCAGCAGCCTTTCTGGTTGAATTACAGGGAAACCAGCAATACATTGCTAAAGGTGATTTTATGGATGTGCTTTAGCATTGTATTAATCAAACAGAATTAAATTGACTAGTGGTATTTCTGAAAGGACCCAGGAGCATCTATTTCTCTGTTACTTAAAATATAAGTAGGAAATGATTATTGAATATGATGAATGTACTATGTATTACCATCACAAATTCTTTCTCAAGAACTCTCATTAGAAATTGCATTAAATGTTAAGTAAGCACTCCTATTATTTTCTGTGGTATTCTATTTACTTTGGATACAAAGTATGTACAACACGGTTTTCACTAGAAATGTATGACTGTTAGATCTTAAATATGCATCTTAAAGTAGTTTGAAGACATAGTCATGTATAGGAAATAAAATGCCTGGAAAGCAAGCTTAGGTAAATTAATATTTGCCTGGATTGTAATTTATTTATTTAGAAAGTTTCTAGGCCGCCCCATTCGCCGAAGCCTCGGGGCGGCTTACAAATAAATAAATTAAAATACATAAATAACAATATAAAATACATAACTGTATAAAATAAGTCGCCCTGGCCAAAAGACTTTAAAATAAAAATAACATTAACAATTAAAATGATGCTTGAATAAAAAGGTCTTCACCTGGCGCCGAAAAATAACGACAGTGCCAGGCGGACCTCTCTGGGGAGCGCATTCCATAGAGTGGGCGCCACCGCAGAGAAAGCCCTCCTCCGAGTACCTATCCTCCTAATTCCCTTCACAGAGGGTTCCCAGAGAAGGGCCTCTCCCGCAGATCTCAGGGGGCAGGCAGGCATATATGGACGTAAGCGCTCCTTCAGGTAGCCAGGACCCAAGCTGTTTAGGGCTTTATAAGTGATCACCAACACCTTGAATTGGGCTCGGACTTCAGTGGGAAGCCAGTGAAGCTGATGGAGGACTGGAGTCATGTGAACATAACGCCCAGTCCCCATCAACAGCCTGGCAGCTCTGTTCTGAACCAATTGAAGTATCTGGACCATCTTCAAGGGTATCCCCATGTAGAGTGCATTGCAGAAGTCAAGGTGGGAAGTCACCAACACGTGTGTCACTGTTGCCAGGCAGTCGTACTCCAGGTAGGGGCGCAGCTGATGGATCAGCCGAAGCTGAAAGAAAGCGCTCCTCGCCACCGCTGTCACCTGAGCTTCCAGTGAAAGCTCTGGGTCGAGGAGCACTCCCAAGCTGCGGACCTTGTCCCTAAGAGGGAGTGCAACCCCATTCAGGACTAGGTTCAATTCACCCTCACCGAAGCTCAATCAGCTGACCAACAGGACCTCTGTCTTGTCTGGATTGAGCTTCAGTTTATTGTCACAAGAAGCACTAAATCAAATGGTTGAGGTTGCTGGGTACATCTGAAACAGATGTTTTCTAGATAGCCAGCAGTTGCTGATTACATAATGGGAAGGGACCACTGAGACTTCCCATAAAATGTTGCAGTGTATTCCCACACCCTAGCAGGGGTCCCTAGTTCAGGTGATACATAGTAGGTGATGGAGACAAAAATAATAATCAACTTTTTATTTTACTTACAAACTTTATAATACCTGAGTTTGTCATTAGTGAATGCAGTTTATCCCTGGCATGTACAGTGGTACCTTGGCTCACGAACTTAATCCGTTCCAGGACTCTGGTCATGACCCAAATTGGTCGTGAGCCAAGTTAAATTTCCCCATAAGGTTCAGTGTAAATAAGGTTAATCCGTTCTGTAACCATTTTTTTAAATCAGAAAAATGTGAAGCAAAGTGACAAAGAACAACAAAGATTGTGGCCATCTCCCCCTCCCCACCCCAAGCACAAGCACGGCCATCTCCCAGCACGACCAAGATTGCGCCTGTCATCTCTGCATGCACCTGTCATCCTGGAGCACTGGGGAGAGATGGGCACGATCACGGGTGCACCGAGGGACAGAGGCGTGAACGGGGCGTGCTGGGGGAGGGAGAGACGGGTGCGTTTTCGGCCATCTCCCCCCCCCCGCCCCCAGCATGATCGCGGCCATCTCCCCACTTGGGGGGTGGGGAGATGGCCTCGATCTTGATCGCCACCCAATGTTGAGTTTGCGACCCATGTCAAAATTTTCATGAAATTGTTTAAGACCGGATTTGGTCGTGAACCAAGGCATTCATGAGCCAAGGTACCACTGTATGTGCTACTTTCAGCCTCCAGCTATGTCAGCTGTTGGCTTAGGATCAAGGACGCAATTCTTCTGTGGAGGGTTGCACTCTGGGGCTCATTCATAAGGGGGAAGTGTTCTTGATAGGCTACAGTTCTGCTCACCTCAAGAGAGCCACAAGCCTGCCTTTGTGCTCTTCATTATCCAGGCTTATCTTTTCACAACCCTTTGTGGCTGTGTCCTTTTTAACTTCCTATTCTCTTTCCTGGGTTTTGCTTCAACTGTGACTGTTACATATTATCAGCTTTTACCATGTATTAAACATAACTTATGGATGTGAGCTAGGAAATTACCTGCTCAGAAAAAGAAGTTCTCTCTGGCCCAGTAATATCTATGTCTTCTGCTTAGTTTCCCTTAATTGTCTTAAAACAAGAGGAGAAGGAAATGACATGCAAGAAATGAAGGAAGAGACAGATATAAACAGCCATAGATATACTCTCCTAGCCTTACCTGTACTCTGTGCTTTCTATCAAATGCTGCTTACTGCAACAACTAGCTTTTTAGTGGCATTTTTCTCTTGGCCATGCCCCTGCCTACCAGCTATCCTAACTAGCCACAACCACCAAGCAACAGTGCTCCATCCCTCCAGCTTTTCCAACTGACTGTAGTGTTCCCTGGCTACTGAGCTGTTGTGCAGCCATGGCGGGGGGGGGGGGGGGGGGAGTGCAGTGCATGGGAGGTTGGATTGGTTTGAAGTTTAAAAATGTGTTTATACTTATGCATACGGAGGCGCACTTCCCACAAAGATGCCTAACACTCCCTTTCTCTGTGGACCTATTTTCATATCAATCCTCTTAGCATTCCTCAGCTAAACTAGATGTTAGGAATGTTATTTGATGTTAGGAAGATGCTTGAAAATTAAGTTTGAGAAGAGTGTTTCATCATTTATTTCTCACTAGTAGCGAGCAAAAGGCAGTGGAGTATATTTTAAGGCCAAGGTTGCTAACGGAAGAGGCTAAGCACCCAGTGATGGAGACTGATGGACATGGGTCCTCAAACTACGGCCCACGGGCCGGATCCAGCCTGCCATGCCCATTTATCCAGCCCGCCTCAGAGATTTTGGACTCCCTGCGCCAGCCTCAGCCCACCTTGCCCCACATGCAGGGAGGTGGCGGCTTGCTCGCGTGGAAATCGTTTTGGACTCACTTGGAGAAAACAATCTCCTAGCGAGCAAGCTGCTGCCTCACATGCCCACCCCCGCCCCCAGATGCTCACCAGCATCTTTCAACTGACTCCCTGTTGAAAAAGTTTGAGGACCCCTGCTGATGGAGATAGGGTTTGTCTTTACCTGAACGTTATTTCTAGTTGTAGCCTGTTTGTTTTTTCCTGGTGTTTGGGAAGGCAAAAAGCTGGGCTTTAAGAATGTGAATGATTGCCATTCAGCCAGATGAGAAAAATTGATGCTCTTAAAGATACTGGGTAGATTAGGGTGAATGGAATTTAAATGTAAAACACTCAGCAAAGCACTGATTTGGGTGAGTTGTTTTGGATTCATTCAGCCCCTACATCTCTTGTATACCATCAAGTTGTTTCCATTGGTAGCCTAGGAATGGAAACAATCCTCCTAGAAAGCTTTAAAGTATCAAAACAACCTCCTTTTTATCTTCAGGTATTTGGAGTTACATCTGGTACCATGCTTCAGCATGAAATTAAGTTGTTCAGGCTTCCACTCAGTCTGTTCATACTGCCCTCAGTTCTACCCCTTTCCCTCACAATGTTCTGTGGTAAACATTTGTTTTACTGGCTTTGCACTTTTTTAATTAACTGGGGGGTTGGGGGGTTACACTATTGGCAAGTCTCAGCTATATTGGGGAAGGGCCATTGCTCAGGGTAGAGTACCTGCATTGCATGTAGAAGATTCCAAGTTCAATTTCTGGTATATCTGGACAATCTGACTGAAACCCTGAAAACTACGGTCAGTTGGTGTTATCAGTACTGGGATGCAGAGATCAATGGACTGATTCAGTAGACATCAGCTTCTTGTGTTCTTATTTCAAATGCTGAATTTCTCCATTGATTTTCCAAGGGCAGCTTTCATTTCTGTCCTGGGGTTATTTTAAAAATCACTTCTCAGTATGGTCCAGAAAATGATTATCTAGAGATGTTTTATATAGGAATCTCTCCATGTGTTCCTCATCTACTTTATTCCATTCATTCTTCCAGCAAAGTGTCAGGATTCCTCCACACACACTGTCAATCAGCATTGCTGAGAGTGGTGGGGCTCCTTTAGCAGGGCTAGTCCAGAACATTTAAGTGCCTGAGATGAAGGGCAAGACGGTGCTCCCCGCATTCCACGTGCTGAAGAATCTTTCTTTGACACTTAGTGAAAGGAAATTGGTCTTCACCACACCTTGCGGTAAACCCAGCTGCTGCTGCCATTGGATTTGGCTGGTAAATCTATCATTTTCCCAAGACATAATTTTAAAGTAGCAGCATCTTGATAGAACACACATGCCACTTTTAGTTTAAATGAAAGATTCTGAAATGAAAGACAGAAAAGGTGCGCTTTTAAATGCCTTTATTTTATCTTAAAAGTCTCATCCCACTCTTTAGCCAAAAAGGTTCTTGGAGCAGCTTGCAATAATAATTGGTAAAATAGTTCCTGCCTTCAAGCTTACAGTCTGAAATACAAGATGCACTGGGGGGGGGGGGGGGGGGGGGGGCAGGGGGGGGTGGGCAGGAATCAGGTAGCAGTTTTTAAGGTTACAGTTTTTAGAATAATCAGCTGGGATGGAAACTTTAGGTAGCCTGATGAATGACTACCGCTTGGTCTAAGTCACATGCCTTGGTATTTAAGAAGAGGAAGGTGAGATGTCATGCCATCTGTCTCCCCCTCACCTGCTAGAACACTCAAAGCCTATCTCCATGGTCACTTGTATAACTTTGCAGCCACAGCCAGCACAGTTCTATCTGCACCAACTGCAAGGGCACAGAGAGGTCACTCTGGATTTAGAAGCCCAGTTCCAACCTTGAAGCTAGTTTCTGAGGTTGGAATTGGAATTCCAAATAGACCTGGTCTATTTGACCATATAGACTCTGTCCAGCAGCCATGGGATTGCA